TTCTAAACTGTAACAAAAATATACATATAGTGCAAGACTCAAAGACTGCAAGATGAAAAAAAATGCAGGGAAATGTCAGAGCCTTCATTTGGTTTAATTGAAAACAGCAGAACTGTGATAAAACATACTTTATACATCTGAAACAAAATGCCCCCTCAACTTTCATGGGAACCGAACATTTAGGCTAATCAAATTTCCTGCAAACATTAGTTGATTCATTCAAGAGTTTTTTAACTCTTGACAAACTGAAATCTGTTCATGTTTGGTCTAAATTAAAACTGAAAGGAGAGATTGCCTGTGCCAGACTGAAAGCGTTCACAAATAAAATAAAAATAAAATTGCCTATATGGAAATTCTTTACTTTCAACTGTAACCCAAAAAGCATGAAAGCATGTGTCTGGAAAAACACACACCTTGACCTAGATGATCTTTTTCCTTGTCTGGGCCAACTTCCTTGCATTTCACATCATCTTTGTTATCAAAGAAAGTTTTCATAATAGCGTGCCAAAACCTTGTCTAAATGGCTACAGCTTCACCAGACCTTTGAACTCTCATAGTGGCATTTTTAAACAGGTGTAAAGTTTCCTCATCCCTGTTCTCTGGGCGTCATTAAATCAGTTCCCTTGCATGCTAGGCAGCCAAACAGACACTCAGGTAAAGCACACACTGGTGCTCCCTTACACTATTATCGACACAGTGTGTCCCAAGTTGCTCATCATACCGTGGGAACTGTATCTCTGGAGAGCAGCGCATTGTGGCACAGGAACTGTCAAGAGGGACAGTGAGATAAAACAGGAATTGTCCTTCATGAACCCAATTCATTTAGCTGGCACACAGCAGCCTGTCCGTGTAACATCACCCGACTCGACCCGAACCGAGTCAGGCTAGAAGCATCTGATTGTTCCTCTCTGGGGTGCAACATTGAGTACAAACTGAAGGCACTATTATTTAACTTTCCCTGCTACGGTGGAGCACATGGACACAGCGAAAGAGACATTTAGCATGAGCCATCTTAATTAAAACACAAACACAAAGACAACAAATGGCCTCTTCATGTTTCCAGAACTGTGAATGAGAATTGTGTGTGTGTGTGTGTGTGTGTGTGTGTGTGGTGGTGTGGTGTGTGTGGTGGTGTGTGTGGTGTGTGGTGGTGGTGGTGTGTGTGTGTGTGTGTGTGTGTGTGTGTGTGTGTGTGTGTGTGTGTGTGTGTGTGTGTGTGTGTGTTATTTAATTTTGAATTAAATTTATTTGGGTTTTGTATTGTTGTTTGGACATCACCACGGGTGAACCGGCAGACAAATCGACAATGAAAATAACCATTAGTTGCAGCCTTACTTAGAAAAGGTCGGTGTTGACATAACCAGCATGTCAATGTGGCCATAGCTGTTTAAGAAATCTAATCAATAACTTTGCACTCTCTAATTAGACTAAGAATTAACTGCAGGATGAATAAAAACTGTACTAAAGTGCAGTGAGGTAGGCCTACATGTACTGTGTGTGCCTCAAAATCCCTTGAAATCAGAAATGCTTTGAAATCAGATTATTTTTTAATCGTATTGTTTCTTTTTAACACTACATGAAAAACATGTATACTTCGTTGCAGAGAGATATCATTTGCAGCTTTGATTTTATGACACACACATTGCAGTGAAAGGCAGGGTGACACATCATAAGACAAAGTCCAAACCATTTCCGACACTATGAAATTCAACTTGGAAGCCCATTGTTTGTGGCTGTATGATAATTGGACTTGCTAGCTGTTTATGTAAGAGGGGCTTGTTTGCATGGGTTCAGTTTGTTCGAAAGCCCCATCAGATCTCAATAGCTCCATTATTAGGCGAGTGGTTAAAGCCTCTTTCAAACTTCAAACATAAGAAGACTCAGGCACACTGGCCTGGTGATCTGTTAAAACTAAAATGTAATCTGCTGTACAGCAGAATGAGAAAATCTGAATACATGAAGCTTGTTTTCTGTTATTGTTTCCCAAAACTTTATCCAAGTTTTGTACCTTTGATGAACGGATTGTGAAACACCTGAGTACGTTGTGTTCCTGATGCAGTCTGTCCAATAAATAACATGCAACCGTGTTTGATCTGTGACCGTAACACTACAGAAATATATAGACAACCCCTGAGGACTTATTACATTTCCACTGACCCCCTAACAGAGCTTTCCGTATGTTCTACGACACCAAAGAGAATAAGGCCACACACAGCTGAGTCATTGTTCTTGACAGGGGTCCTGGAGTGTGCAAAGCCTCATTACGAGCGGATGGCTGTAAGCCTCTTTGACTGTGCTCTCTGCACAGGCAAACACTGAACCAAGTGGAGGGCAGCGAGCACAGGGTGCACTGTAAAACCAGAGAAGAAATACTAAACATTCCAACACTAGATCAATATTTTGTTGGGCTGTGTATAGAGATGGCAGAACCTTTCACCTATTCAACGTATAGAAAGCTCGTGGAGGATTAACTCACTGAGGATATTTGGAAATAGAACAAGTGCTCAAAACTCCTTGAGCACACTCCTCGTCTCCATTGGTCTTTTTCATCATCGAGGGTACATTATATCAAATCAAATTTTATAGTGTTGTTTTGTAATGTTGTATTAGTTGCGAGGGGAGCCAGTGATCTGAAGATGAAATGACAGGAGCCATTCATCGCCTGGTTGTGTGAAACCAGTGTCTCTTTATGGCGTCTTGATTACGCTGATCTCACCATCATGCTGGCTGCGTCACATGGCTTGCCATATGCCAGTCACAGGGTAAATGACACTGACACCGGGCACAGTTATCCTGGCATCTCACAAAGCCTTTGAGCTCTGCGGAAAGTGCTCTAAACTCAAGGACAACATTATATAAAACTACAAAGAAAAACACTACAGTTAAACTAACTTGCAAATAAGGGGGAGAGTGTCATATTTGAAGAGATGTCACTTGCCAGTTGAGGTGTTTTCAATATTCTCCATAAGTGAGTTTCCACCCATCTAATTTTATGTGCATTTTCAATTTAGAAATTGCTTGGTAAATCCATAAAACTAAAATGTGACAAGTGCAAATGATACAGACTTAGTGGATGAATAATGATTCACGTGAAGTGTATGATTTATCAGACTGACATGGCGCGATGAGGAGACTAACATTCCCTACACACAAAAATGCTGTATTTGATCATGTTTTCCTTCATTTAAAGTTTGGCGGACATTTAATTACGTCACCTTGTTGCGCCCTCTTCTTTTGCAGTGGTTTGATATCACCCAGCTGGCAAACTACAGCTCCAAATCGATCTGCTCAACTCCTAATATTCACGTAGCAGAGGCAGATGGAAATTATCATTTCATTTCATTTCATGCAAATTGTCTGGAAATGTGGTTTAAATTTGCATTACATTTGGAAATAGGCAAACAATTTCCCTCTATGTGAACAGTTATATCAGATAGAAAGTGTCTTGGGCATGAAATTGTATGTAATTACATTATTAAATGATGAAAAGATTCATAAAGTTCTAAAAAAAAAAAAAACACTCAAACTTCTAATGACCTGTAGGCCATATTTATATTAACAATAAATAAAATTGTTCTGTGTAATGTGAAGGTTTATTGCTTATATTTAACTAGACGTTATAACCCAACTCTGCAGCTCCATGTAGCTAGTTACATTATATTATTACTCTCATTACTCGGCCCAGCTCAATCAAAAGTTCCTTCCAACAATTCCAAAGCGTCTACACAGATATGTTGCCTCATAATGTGCAGTGAAAGGAAAAAGGACATGTGGTTTAACAAGCAACCTGCCTACAGTTTGGATGTATTTACTTACCATAAACAGCTAGCTTAGCCCCAGGCACCCCAGAAGTCCTGACAGCACACTCCACACTCCAAAACCCAGTTGATCCCTGAATGAAAGCTTATGGTTAGCTAGCTACCTAACAAAATACATAATGGTAACTTAATCATTGATATAAAGAATATTCCACCTCTTTTGGCGGAGGCCAGCAACCTTTTTTTTGGGGGGGGGGGGGGGGGGGGGTTAACAAAACAAAAGCTTCATATTGATGGTAACTTGGGTGAAGAACAGAACATACAGACCCCAAGACAAAATATGATAACTTACATAAAACACACTGATAGAGATTGGGGGTGAAGGTTGTGAACTGATTTTGTTATGTTGTTGTTGAAGGGAGTAAAAAAACATTTATTCACAAATTGAAAATGTGCATGAAAACTAATATTGACAAATGGTAGAAAGACAAAGTTAGTGACAAACTAAGTAAAACACATTTAGCAAACTAAAGAGACAGACATTGGTCCTGAGAGTTGGCTGAGAACAGAAATAAAATGAGAGACTTACTTTTGGTGGCCAGAAACAAGATACCAAATGAATGTTGCTCTGTGTCTGCTGGTAAGTAGGCAGCTATTTGCTAACACGTTAGCTAGCGTTACAATTAACTATGTGTACATATTATATGTAAGATATGTATGTAGATAAATAAATTTCACAAATTTCATAAATTCACACCTCTGAAAATGATAGCTGGTTAATTAGAGCACCTGTTACTGCTCTGTAGACCTAGTATAACTTTTGCTATCAAATGGAACATTTCCTGCTTTTCTTTACATGAAAGAGAGACATCTCCACAGCACTGATGAAAAAAATTATTATTTCAAAACCACAACTGTGACATGTAATTATTAATTAGAACATTTTAATGACAATTTAAAAGATAATTGATAGATTTTTTAAATGCATGATTTAAGATACTCAGAGTTATCTCAAATTTAAAATCTGAAGGTCTGCAAACTTTCTTTTCAGGACTCAAAGATGTGCATACTACCTTCCCCTTTTTTATATCTACACAGTAATGGCATCAACAAACATGTAAGAAGAAAAAAAAGACAAACAAACCCCACCTCCAGCGTCTTCACAGCGTCAGACTTCTAAGTAAGCAGTATGAGCATGAAGGGAGGTGACTTTGTTCATGACTCAGCTGAGTCAATGCCACAAGTCAGGGAGAGTCGAGGAAACAGCTGCTTCCTTGTGGCGTCTGGCCTTTTTTATTTCCACTGTGAACCAGTAAAGCTGGCTGCCTTTTACAGCAGTTGTAAAGCCATATTAATAAACGCTGAAAGTCCCACTACACAGGACAAAGCTAATTTACTCAGATCATATTATGCATCATGCTGTGTCTTATTTGGAGGCAATCAAATCTCTAAAAAAGAATAGAAAAATTTGGTTTGAACTGTGAATGGCCAGGTGACAATTTATCTATTTACGATGTCTGCCTGGATGTGTGCCATCTCAATTACACATCCTAATGCCTGGTTTCCAGTTTCATGCAAATCTTTCTTTCCTTCGTCCTCTCAGTCTTTCTTCAGCTTGGACTCCAACAGATGAATACATGTAATCAGATATGGAACAGAAGAGGAGTTGAGTTTTGTTTAATTTCAGGTGGGTAAATACTCACTGCTAACACCTATTCAAAACAAACTTGAACATGAACAGGCATCAGCACGATAACTGGTCTGACCAGGGCCTTGATTTCACATCCTGATCAGTGATGAAATTGTCAACTCTCGATACTTTCTTCTTTTAGTCCCTATTGTTTGTGTTGCCCCCATGCTCTTATGCTTCAGTGTGAGAACAAGAAAGAAAGAATCTTCAGCCACGCTAGCAGCGATGTAAGGTCGTGGATTTAGCTATATGCTAACATCAGCATGCTAATATGCTCGCAATGACGGGTATAATGTTTACCATGTTCATGATTTTAGCATGCTAACATTTGCTAATTATCACTAAACACAAAGTACATGTGAGGCTGGTGGGAACGGTATAAGTTGTCGTCATAAAACGAGTCCTGGACATTAAATTGACATTTTAACTTTATGATGGCGCAAGAGGAAATGATAAGGGATCGCCAAAGTATTACAATTCATCCTGAAGGGGACATGAAGGTCTAGACATTTCAAAAAAACTACAAATGTAAAACCTCAAAAAGTCAGTCATCATCTGAGGATCATGTAATTTAATTTCTATGTCACTAGTAGGCCTATGGGTAAAAATCCTTAAACATTCAAAATGAATGAGTCTATACATTTTTTTGTTAATATATATATATATATATATATACACACACACGCGCACACACACATATATATATATACCTCTGTGTGTGTGTGTGTGTGTGTGTTAGTTTTCAATCATTTCCCACAATTAAGAAACTGAAAAGTTCAACAAAACAGATACATAATGTAGACACAATAAACTGAAACAGCAAGAAAAAGAAAATAATAACAAGATTAAATAAAACATGTATATAGTTCATTAGTTCCTCATCATTCAATCTCCCTTCTTATTTGGGATAAAAGCAGGTCCTAGGGCATTTCCCAGCATGCATTTGTCAGGTTACAGGGCAACATCTTGGGCAAGTCATCTGTCCATCACACAAGTTTTTTAGATAACAGAAATAATGTGACATTTTATTTGTAAATTGTCAGTAATACAGTAACAGAATGGTTAGACAGAGCATATACCCTCATGATCAGTTATAGTATACACAGACAAACACAGCAGGCTCAGCGAGGATTTACAGCTACAGAGGAGATTATTTTTTACAACACATGTCATCACTGGGTGTAATCCACTTTAAAAGGGCTTTGTTTGCTGACATCTAGCAGATAGAACATGCATCTGAAAGAGAGAATTATTCACTCAAAGTCGTGGATAAAATTAGTATCGTTTGTTAGTTATTCATGTAAATTGTGATGACACATCATAATGTGTGCAACTCGAGGAACTATCTTACCTCCCAGTAGACTGACTTGATTTGATCACAGGTGGTTTGGTGGAATTGTTTTCTTATCATTTCTATCTGAAAGATATTGCCTTGTAACTTTTCAGAATTTATATAATATTATTTTATTTTATACACAGATGAATCAGTCAAAGAATAACTGATCATACAAAAAATATGGAAATGTTTCTTGGTCTTGTTAGCCAGGTTTTACAAAGTGCTTTGCATAATTTAGAGGAAGTAAAACATTTTAACACAGATCAGAGCAAATACTGGCCACAGACTCAACATATTTGAATCACTGAAAAATACCTATTTATAGCAACAATGTAGTCATCTGTTTTCACAAATTTACAGGAGATTAAAGTTGGAGAAACAGTACTCTACCTCATACATCTCAGTGGTTATGTAACTGGCTTTGAAATTAACATTTATCTTGTGGTGCTGACATGTGTATAGCGTTTTTAATGTTACATTTGGAGCGACATTGCTCCATTTGCACCATTACACTGGCAGTGTGACATTTGGGTTGTCCATTTGTTCTTCTGTCAACATTCAACTCCAACAAAACAAATTTTTGGAAGGAGACAGTGGCCATGTGATCATAGTCAGCCACTTAAATCACAGCTCTGGATGTTTACTTTTATAAACCTGCCAACAGAAGATCTAAACAAGAACACGTACCTGGAAAATATAATAATTAATAAATTGCACGTGAGAGGACACACAGCCCCATCTGTTTTCTTTAAACTGCACGTCCACTGGCTAATGGGTCAGGGTGTGTTGGGGGAAGTAGATGCACAAACCCTAGTTTGGGTTGTGGGGGTTTTGCAACGTGACCATGTGTTGGAGGAGAACAATTAAACCCGGATAAGGGAGGGGGTTGTGGAGACAATACTGAGGCTGTACCCTGTAGGCCCCATGCCGCATAAAGACCTGATTATCCCCCCCTTTGGCTGGCCTTGCCGAGTGGACAGACAGTGGACTCAGTATTTCCCTTCCTCTGTTGAGCAGTGGGGACTCTCTTCCAGCCTCAGCAGTGCCCAGCTATTTAAGGGGAGCTGTTGTTTTAGAGAGCCACTGTGGGAAAGTCATTAAAGTGTAAAGCATCTCTCTTTTATGTCTTTCTAAAGGACTCCTGGAAGAGACATCCACTAAGGCAGCGGATGGTAATGAGTGCTGACACAGGCCGGCCGGCCCCCACAGTGCTGTGGGTGCCGATAGCCGCTGCCATGGCAAACCGATTCTCTGCTGTGAAACCAGCCTGACGTACGGCGAGAAGGGCTTCCTCTCTTCCACAGGTGGCCAGTGTCTACCAGCAAACTACTAAATCAGACCTTTTCTTCCAACAGGAAAGGGACTTTTAGTCACTTTAGGTTGATGTTGGTAGTGAGTTGCACGGTGGGTATTTTGTCAAGTGCTCCAAAGATCAGCCTGTCATTATTTATTTAAAGGAGACTTAGTGAATACCTAATACGCAACACATGGCTCTTAGGGATTCTGAGATGAGGCCTTTCATTTAATCGAGGGTCATTCCTCAACCGTCTCCTCTTACTGATCATGTCATTATTATTCCATGCAATATATATTTAAGTGGTGAACTGGACAGGACCCACATGGCAGACTATTATCATAGCATTACAAAACCACATAAGGACACATAACAGCATGCTGGGACAAACGCACAATAAGTAGCTATATGCACTGCATTGTAATGACAGAAGATTGTCTTTCCTGGAAAAACACATCATGGGAGTTCCCTTTGCGCATGTTCAACTGCTGCATATAAAACAATCAGGGGTGATTCACCAGCCAGTGCAGTAATGAGCAGCAGGTAAACTGTGTCAAGGCCCCTGTGGTGCAGTAAGAAAGAGCTGACAGCTGAGTCTAATGTTGAATTTTAGAGTATGACAATCTACCTTAAAAGTGGAGCACTGAAACCGGTCCAAAGCAGTCTGCTGTGGACAAGTGTTATTCATTCATTGTCCCTGTATTTTTTTGAACAAGGGGGGCCTCTGCTGGCATCCAGTGGTACCACATCTTGTTTACCAACATGTGGTACCACTTTAACACTGCAGGATATCCCCATACAGTATTCAGTTGGCTTTTTTGTTCTGTAACCATAGCATTCAGCTGTCTCATCAAACATAATTTAATAATTCATAAAAACACACTGTACTGTTCACGCTACCCTGACCAGACACCAGGGATGTAATATTCACATTGCTCTAGAAATCATGTGCGACTCCCCCTCAGTATGGTTCACTGCACAGCCCACTCAACACAATATCTTATTTTGGCTTGTTGGACTCACAAGTTGAATATTTGACCAGTCGTTGACATTAAATATTGGCACACCACCGTTCTATTGTCGATCTGTCTATTGATTTGCTTGGTTAAACAGAGGGCCACATGCAGAAGGATAACATTCACAGAATAGGTCAAAGACACCCAGTCGAGGTGAAGAGAAACAGGCCACACCGTATGCATCGCAGTGGAGCATTACTGAAGCAGCATTGATCGGCTTTGTAAATGGCTGTATATAGGAAAGAGTGATTGATTTGGCCCCTGTATTAATGCTGTTCACACCAAGCTATGTCCTGGTGGTCACACTGTTATTTCTCTCTTATTCTCTCTCTGTACACTACTGTGTATGTTTCCTTCTCCCAGGGCCCACATATAGGCTCGTGAAAAGCGAGGTTATGCAACAGCCCGGCCATTGGAACAAACTGCCATTTACTGAGGGTGAAAGGAGCAGTTAAGAATGGCGAGGGACCCATTGTCAGCTGTCATTGGTATGCAGAGCACTGCAGTAATACTATTGGGACCCTCGTTGGTTTTGATCAAAATACGCTGTATCTTTACCCCCTGATCTGTGGGGAGCTTTCTTCTCCATGTTGCCCTCAAACTGCTCCAGTCATAGAGAACGACAGAAACAGCCCAGTCACGAGGCCCAAGGCCCGCCCGTGCATGTCACATGGAGGACCAAAACTATCAACGCTTAGAATGAAGCCAACTTTGTATTTTTTCTGTTCAAATCATGTGTTCAAAGGTACTCAGAATAAAACTTGAGTAAACACTTCACTTGCAGAGTTGCAGGAAGAGCCTGAAATATGTTGTGCCAGTACAACCAGTATAATGAAAGGTGGACACCTAGTCAATAACAGTAACCATCGTTGTAGCATTTTCCTATGCAGTGAATAAGTGAATTGCATGTATTCTCACAAAGCAATCTGTAATCTCCTGAATAAACAGTGTTTGAATAAGAATTTGACACCTGCTGTCATCTGAACCGATGCAGATAACCAAAGCTCATTCTGGTTCATTTTAGCCTAAGCACAAGGATTCACTCCAGTTCAGTAAATCCTCCTTCTTCTTCCTCACAGTCTGTCTTTGGAAGCGGAGAGAACTGGGTTAGGGTTATATAACCAGTGTCTGTCCCCCTTTGAATCCTCAGCAGCTCGTCTTCCCCTAATCTTTTCAGCTTGATTACACCCTCCATCCCCCTCCTCTGCCGACTCATTCAACTGAGAGTGTTCTCACACACAAGCACATCCACACAGGAGCACATAAACGGAACGTCAGGATCCGCCACGCTCCGGTTTAGATCGGATGGGATGCTTGAGATTGCAGGTGTGAGCATGTGAAGGGCTGCAGCATATCGTCATGACAAACGAGAAGACATGCGCCATGTCTGAGGTTAGCTGTACATGTTCATGTATCTTACCATCATGAACAATTAATCTCAGTCATTACTGCAGCTTGATATCTGTGTGAACAAGAGCAATGTTACAATCTGCTGGAAGATGTCAACCAACAGAGACTGAACACTGATAATATTTGATGTACCAACAGCTTGTCAGTGGTTTCGTGCCACAGTCGTGCTGAAAGAAAACTGCTGATACAGTAGGTGTTCCTTCAGTTAATGTGGATGCAACTTGCAAATAGAGTCTTGTAAAAGAGACAAACAACATTTATTACTGCTTGTTTACAGCATATCTGTTTTTCTCTTTGATTTTCTGAAATTGCTGAGCAACAAAGGTCAACATTTGGATAGCTGCTGTAATAAAAGAGAAATCCAGGTCAAAGGCTTAGACAGTGTGTCTGCGGAAAACGTTTATCATTACAAACAGGCTGTAAAAGAACTGTCACTTAATTTGAGCAATAACAAAGTCTGCATTCATGTACTGTGGAACTATAAAACAGCCATTTGGCAATTGCTAAAAGGGATGGAAAGGCCGTGGGAAAGTAGTCGTAACAGTATGCAGACTTTGTTCTTGTGCTTTTTCAACTAAAAGTTCTTATAAAAATGGATTTTGAAAGAATTCTGAGGATGCATGGAGACACAGAGTTTTGAAGGTCAAAGGGTGGTTTCCCTTTGATCCCTAAAAGCGTAACTGTAGCGGTAAACCATGACCCCTCTCCCTGACCTTTGCTCACCAGGAGCGTAAAGATGTAAATATTCTCCTTAGGACACAGCCTACCCCCAAACCTGTGCACTTGGAGAAGACAGTAAATCTTCCAGCCTTCAGCTGGCTAAACATTTAATATGTTTTATGAGCCTATTCACTCAAGGTCGACAGGCAGAAGCTACAGGAAGTAGGCATGTTTGGCAGTTCTGTGTAATGCAGCATAAACTTGCAAGTCGTTAAAAGGTTTGAGTGGAAAAATCTCAGTACTCAGTACCTCAGTACTTTTCATGTTTCCGAAAATATTAACTGTTCTAGTGCAGGCTTAATCACAGAAAATCCCATTAAATGCTGCTGATACATGACAGCCTCTGTGTCTTGGCTGAGTTCCCCCCCCCTGGCTCATACAGTGACCAGCCTCAACCCACCATCTGCTGCTTCAAACTCTTACTGACAGTTTTTTACCTCATGGTTACTATAAATGTATGTAAAAATGTATCAGGCATCATAGCAGAATAGGGAAATAGACACAGACTCTTCTTTTGTTTTTATATATATTATAAAACCAAAGTAAACAGGTTTTTATTGCCACAACACCCCCTTATAAATCAATCCCTATAGCCTTTAATTTTATGTACTGTCAACCAAGACTAAGTGGGTGTAGCACTCCAACTCACCAAAGGTCGGTTAAAATGAAGGGCAAAGATTTTAACCCACCTCTGACAGATGACTGAGAATCTTCACAGACCACACAACTACTGGAACTCTAAATTTGTCATCTGCGAGCTGCCCGAGAAGGTGTAACGCACCTTAGATCTGGGCCTTTGTCATCTCATGAGCACAAGGGAGCTTTATCAGCATCATGGATATCTCTAATGATTTTGCATACCAGTAATCAATATGCAGCTGACAATGTCACCAAATTCACTTCACAGTATAGTCTATTACACCATTTGTTCTCTGATAGCCTCAACAATGTAGCCAACGGAGGCTTGTTCTGATCTACTGACATCTACTGGCTTGATGTAAAACAATTTATGTAACACTGAAACTCACAGATGGGGCTCTGGTGCCATCCAGTGGCAACAACTTTAAACACACATTAACGCTTGTGGAAGAGCCAGATGGAGCTCATATTGAGTTCTTTACTCAAGGCCATCTTGATGTGATGTGTTAAGGCATGGGAGGGCAGTTCCTGTTCGCGTCTTCAGACCAGATTTTCAGCCAGACAAGCAGTAGATATTCACAGACGAGGTTTGCTGCTTCCAGGCTCTTATAGGTGCTGCTTTTCTCTGTTTAATCTTACTGTAAAATGAACATCTTTGGATCTTTCTGGCATTTTATAAACCAAATGATAAATCTATTATTTGAGAGAATAACTGACAGGTTAATCAGCAATGAGAATAACTGTTAGCTGCATCCCCAGATGTGACACTGGTGACAGCCTTGCTTCTGGTGTAAAGGGAGCTGATTATGGCATTGAAAGATATACTGAAGCGTCATAAAGTCATAAAGTCATCAACTATTTCTATGTCAAAACCTTCTTTCTGAAATGTCTGGGGAAACACTTAAGCTTTATGTCTTGTTGTTTTCCTACAAACTGCTGTGAAGGAATCTTTTCTCCCTCTTGGAATAAATAATGCTTTTAACATTCATGCCCCAAGAAATGACTGTTATCACACAAGATCCCACAGGACTTGTTTGAAATTTGAATATATAACAAATCCAGCTGGTCATTTTTATTCATTTCACTTCATGATGACACAAAATGCAATGTAGCAAGAACATGGTGTCATGCCACGCATACATATTGAGCAACCTCATGTGCTCCTTTTTTATTTATATATTTTGAAGGATTCACATTTGGTTACTTTCAAAGTAAACAAATAATAATCTTCACAAAAATAATCTAGCCTTTACAGATTTTTGTGCTACACAAATGAAAGTACACAGATACGGTAACACCAACACTTCACAACAGGGTGTTTGCGTTTCCATGAGTCAGTTCTCTAAACATGCAAAAATAAGCTCAGCACTCTAATTTGGCAAGAGAGAGAGAGAGAGAGAGAGAGAGAGAGAGCTTTGACAGAAAAACTGATCCCTTTGAGGAGCACTGTCACAAATAATGAAGGTTAATACAGTATAAGGGAATCCTCTGGTCACTGGACTATGTACCTTTATGCATTTCTGGGATGGAACATTTAAACAATTTGCATGCATTTGTTACATCCACAAAAAACAAAAACTTGGTGAGGCTTTCCAAACAGTGTGGAATAGAAATCCAGAGCCAAACAAAGGCCTTCTAAAGAAAAATGCTATTGTGCACTTTTATTAGCCCTCATTAGTTTGATCCTGATATCTCAGTCTAAGGCAACTTTCCTTTCAAAGGAAATCAGGCTTTGAATGTCTCTTTTGACCAGTCAAGTTCATAACTGACAAAAAGACATCACAGTGATGGGGAACAGATACTTTGTTTTATGCAATCTGAATATCTGTCAGACGTCTTGGCTTGCTCATATTGTGTTTACTAGGTCCAGTGAAGGTTAACCTCTGCTGAATATGAAGTTAAAGTTTGTCATATCAGACATTAAAATGAGAATTCAGTACATGCTCACATTTGTAAAACATGAACTCAAATTCAAATTCATTCAATTCAAATTCATGGTGACAAAAATCATCATTATGACACTTTTTTATGCCCTAAAGTGAGGTAAGTCACTGTTCTACCTGGATCATGACCTAAACCGCATTACACTGTATATGAATTACTGAAGATATTATGGTGAACATGAACTTAAAACTGTGATTTGAGTTACGACTACCATCTGAAATCAGAAACTGTTGTGAATGCGGTGAGAAAGATTATATTCACATTGTTAATGTTAGTGTGATGACAGACCTTTGTCAAACTAAAGGAATAATGCTTACACACATTGTACACAGTTACAAGTAAATATACTGTAACACACTGGTCTATATGCACCATTTCCCATTACAAACGTATTGGCTGTAGGCAAGTAGTGAGTAATCAAGAACTGTAAGAACTGTAAATGCCACAAATTGAATTGACAGGATATTGCTTTGGGACCCCTGTGACCTATAATATGTTGTGCCCCAAAAACAAGTTCAGCACTGAGAATGGCACACAAAATACCAAATGTCACTACAAACGTACCTGTACAGTTCAACTCAGGTTTTCACTATTGACCTTTCACATCTACTCTTTTAAGAACAAATCAACAATCACATTCTGCAGGCGAGCCCTCTCAAATCACTACTGACAGGTGAGTTTACCACAAACCAGAGTAACAGTGAAAGAGAGAAATGTTTGTGGTTTGATTTCTTCATGGAAACTCTTCATAATGCCCCCACATTAAAAACAAAGACCTGTAGGAAAACAGCACTAGTGAGGTAGGAATTTGAATTCCAAAACCTATGATGTTTCATTAACTTTGCATGCTAATTACCAGTTGGCTGCACAGCAAGGAAATCAAAAGCATACTGTGGACAACTTGTCACGACCAGAAATATGGCACTAAACTAGAGGACATAATCACACTCAGCAAGCCCTAACCCCAGACGGATATTTACACTGCCTGCACTCCAGCCTTGGAAGAGTTTCTGTGCTGCTAGGTGACCATTTCTTCACGTGGCAGGTTGAGCCTCACCTCCCCTCCTGCTGCTGTGGAGGCAGAGTAGACTGCGGTGGCTGAAACAGAAGAAGGGCCGTTGGTCTCCATGGTGAAGAGCTTGCAGGGTCCTGACAGGGCCGCATCAGGAGCCTCCTTTTCTGGGCTGGACGCCTGGGATGATCCAGGGGAGGATGTGGGGCTCAGCTGCACGGCTGTAGTATCCTGCAGCGTGTGCTCGCTGGTCTCTATTTCAAACGCTGCCCCACCGGCCAGCCCGCCATGTCCCATTAGCCCCGAGCCCCTGCCGCCCACCTTAGACCTCCGTGAGCTGTGGGGAGGGGGGAGGCGGCTGCACACACAACAGGCCCCAAAAAAGGAAAAGGCCACCAGCAGTAGGATAGGTCCGATGATGATTGGAGGGTTGGCAGAAGGCACCAGTGTGCTGAAGGCGAACGCTCCCACCAGGGTGATGTTCAGTCCGGCCAGCATGATGCATAGGCCACAGGCACAGCAGAGTGCCGGAGAGGGCAGGCCATGAGGGCGAGACTTCCTCCTCGTCTTCTTCTGGGGCTCCTTTTTAGGTACAGGGGTACCGGTGTTTCTGTCAGTGATCACCATGTCTGCACCTCGAGGCTCTCTGTCTATCTCTTCCACTGTGTTGTCAAATCTCCCTGTGTTTCAGCCCAAACTCTTCCCCATGGCAACGTTTAAATAAATTCACAGCCAGGAAACGTCTTTGTCTGTAAATGACAACACATGACAGCTGTAAGAGATGCTTTATTTCTTTTTTTAGATACTCACAATGAAAGAAAATAGACTGTGCCTCTGATTAAGTGCACTCATTACACTGCTCTTGTTCCATGCACTAGTATCAATGGACATCTCTCTAATGCTCATTGTGGGCATAGTGAAGTGTCCTCCCTGAGTGGGTCTGTGTAATCCATCTATGAGCTCTGAACATTCATCACTCTGCCCTGCTGCTCCCATAAATTACAAATATCAAAAGAGGTTGTGGACAGACATGTGATGATAACTATCTGATGACCTTCAAGTAGAATACACTGGGCACTACTGTATGCATGTGGGTGAGAAGTTGCCATCTGACTGGTAGGATGTAACCTATTGGTGACACCAGAAGTTTGCCCCACATGTGTGGAGGGATCATGAGGATCCTGTCCAGTACTGTATATTTTAATCTTGAAAAACAACTATACTAGGAACTATTTCATATATAATTTTGCTTGTTTTTCTCAAAAAATTAACTCTGAAATGGAAAGTACACAAATAAACAATAATAGTGGGACCATTCATGGGGAATTTGACTACTCATATTGTTGCATAATAGTCAAATTCAGTAAACACTGAATGAGAGGCATGCAGCTAGTGACTCTTTCAACACCATCTTCAAGAAGACCCAAGTGCTGCTTCATAATTAAACATGATTGATCAAAGTCTCCGTTTATTTTGACATTGTTTTGTGAAGTAAAAAGTATGCACTTGCACTGCAGCTGCTTCATTCGTGCCTGGTAGGCCACTCCGGGAGAGCTTTTCAGTATTTAGTTGCAATCAAATCAGCCTTTTCATTCCAGCATGCACCCCATTCAAGAGCATCCAGTACAGACGAAGAGAGGGGATGAAGGGAAATGATCGTTTGTTTTACAAATGTGTATATCAATAAATCTATGACCCTGAATAGGCTATATTACAACAGCCTGGTCGTTTAAGTATGAATTAGGCTTCGCTAAGAAAACATTTTAAATGCATGCTTACTGCACGGATGTGTTCCAATCCTGTAAAAAAAAATTAAGCCGTAAACTCTTACCCTTTATGTCGATATACTGGAGGTATTTCCATTGTTTAATCGGTAGATTTTCACCGAGATTCCCAGTCTTAATTACCGGGTGTAATTACTGAGAGGTCGAAAGGACGCATTTACACCAAACGAGGGTTTTTCATCCTGCTTTCGTAGCTTTACAGTCCTGAGGGCACAAGTCATGACAGCCATTCAATCAGTGGCCGCGGAAACACAAGGCGAGGCGATCCGACCTGCGGAGGAATATTAAATCCCAGGGAAGAGGATAGATCACTTAGGTGAGATGGCATTTCCTCTGAGTTGACACACAGACGCAACACCGCGTGCTGCTCCTGAAGAGGACCGAGACGCACGTAGCACCTGACAGGTCATCCTGCTACTGATATAGAGGGTAACCGCCAATATGTGCGAGGCATCTCTCCGGCAGTCGGCGTGGAGCCGTCAAATTTCATTATTTCATATTTGATCTACAGCGCAGAGCATCTTCACTCCTCTGTGGACCTCTGGATGCGACTCTCCTCCTTCTCCTTCTCCTCCTCCTCCTCCTCACTGATCCATCCCTTACCGGTGTTCAACCTGGGGATATGTGTGTGTGTGTGTGTGTGTGTGTGTGTGTGTGTGTTGCACCCACCCTGTAGCTCACTAGTTTGTTACTTGTTGCTGATTTTTCAAGAGGAACACGCAAAATGTTTAATAATTTAACAATTTCTTTTGAAATGTAATCTGATATCCCGTTTGAAATTTGTATGTTATTTACAATCGCCATGTAAAATAACATGATGCCACTTCATTTGGGGGTTCATGTCAATAATCAGAAATTAAAACGACATTAGGTTTGCCAGGTCATGGGTTAAGTGTCATGAGTCACCTAAATGCCAACAACATAAGTTATGTTGTCAGTAATTAGATATTAATCAATCGTTAATAAAGGTTTCAGAGGGTCAGATGATATAAACAGCAGCTGACAAATTTTTAAGAGAAGTTTTTGTATTTGAAACTTAAGTTAACGTTCATTCTTGATCTTGGAAATAGTTGACAAAATAATCTTACTAGCTTTAAAAAAAACTTTGCATGTTTAAAATGATGTTTGTAAAGACCTACTATGCTGCCAAATTAATCCCAACACAAGGTCCCCTTACTCTCTCACTCCAGTGCTTTCATGAGACTATTTTCCCCTCGTGCCATACATAGTTGTATCCTGACAGTGACAGATTTCGCATGGATGGATACTCAAAAATCTGTTTAAATCAAACAAAAATATATATGTTATTGGGAAAAGTGTGGAGATTATTTTTATTTGGGTGAAGTGATCCTTTAGATGTTCCCAGTTCTGCGTTTTGAGGTGAGGTCCAGGGTCTTTCACTATTGTTTAACTGGATGTGGCTGCACGGTTTACAGCTGGTAAAATTGTTATACCCTCTGGTTTAAAAAAAAATTATATTTATGTTTTAATTGTAAATTGCTTTCTGGATGATGTGCTTTCATTATGTGTCAGACACAGAGGGATTGTGATCTGAGGCCTGACAATCAAACCACTGGTTGTCATCAGGGTTGCTGCAGACTCCTCCGGCTCCAGTTGCCTTCATTATTCAACCTCACAGCACGTCACAATTTTTGTCAGAGAACAGTGTTCTTCCCCACACCACTTCCCATGCAGCAGCCATTCTGTCTGTGCTGTCCCGAATATCAATGTATTATGTTTCACTGCGGGGGTGCAGTTCACTGTATGCAGGCAATAGATGTAGCTATTTGTCTGTAACTATATGTGTGTCTGTACACATGCATGTATTCCAATTTGTTTTGCTCATGACAATATAAGCAGGGGAACTTGTGCTGAATAGTCCCTTCACCGCTTAACAACCATAATAAATTCTTAATTGCTGGCTGTAAAAAAATTGTATGATGATGAGATGAGATGAGCTGAGCTGCGCTCAAGTGGGTTAATTTTTATCTTCACTCACTGTCAGGACAATTGAATATTTGGAAATGTTTATTAGACCACATAAATACAAGTTCAGCAGGTACAACAATTCTACAGAAAAGGAAAAAAAACCCAGAAAGCTTCAAATCACTTCTTTTTTTGTTCCACATTTGAAAGAAACCTGATAATGAAGATTAGTGGGGAAGTTGAATGATATAGGGTTAGGGTTAGGGGGTCATGTGGTGACATCATGGCAGGTCTTGATCAGCAGGTGATAGCTTAAGTTTCCGTCGAGATAAGACGTCTGGCATGTCTGAGGATGTCCTGCAACACACCACAGCAAGACTCATGTAAGTAATTAAAGGGATGTTGTATTGTGTCTGTTTGTTAAAGCTGAACTAAAACATCCTCCGGGGAAAAAATTAAAGTTGAGATCATTTCTTTAGAGGCATCTGTTAACAACGTCTTCCTTCAGTTTGGATCAAAGTATATTACTTTGTTCCCAATAAATTTAAAAAGAGTTTTAAAATGACTGTGCTACACAATTAGTGTATTGGTATGTGGATAATGTGTTAAAATGAACCTCAGTAAAGGAATTCACGCATTATTATTTATTTTTTAAAGAATGAGGTTAAATCTTGATATATTTTTTCCAGTAGTGAAAAAAAAGAAATCATCATTTTACATGATTTGCCCAATTTATGGCCTTTTTGGATTATAACTAGTAAGAGGCATTGCAATAAACTGGACCTTAAAAATTCATCTTTTTACATGTCACTCACATACTCACTCATGTTTAATTTCACACGAGTCAGTGCATGTCGTGTTCTGACATCGGACATCATTGAAATCTATCAGATATCTGGGTTGAAAAGGTACCTTGTTATGTTCACTTTTGAAGTCTCCTTGTCTCCTCTAAATGCCTTGAAAAGGCAACAAAACATTCTTATATAAGATGGGTTTTTTTGTGGCTATTCTACTGACAATCATCAACAACAATAGTGACCATAGAATCAGTGCAACAGCTTAATCTTGTCAAAGTAAACAACATTTTTGGCATGTCATTATATTCACAGAATCACAGAGTCACAGAATTACATTCTCCTTTAAATTTAAAAACTGGACGTACTGCAAAAAGAACAACATAAAATCAAATCAGTTAGCCATCAAATCAATCAGATAAAGATGCAAAATGTTCACTATTTTTCTGAATAAAGTAAAGTTAAGTTCAGAGAATTAAAAGCGCATTAAGATAAGGGAAACATTATGATCTTTGAGTAGTTGTGACTTCAAATGGGATGTGAACTCTAGCCTCTTCTGTTGTAGCCAATTGAACCGGTCACCCATCCTGATCATCCTTACCTTTCTTGGAAACGTCACACCACTTCTTGCTCTCACTTGTAAATTGCTTATCCACATTAACCCTTTAATTCACAAGATATAATAGTGGTCTCGTACCCCTCATCTGGGTTGGTCTCAGCCGTCGGCCCGCCCTCCACAAAGGTTCCCATTCGACTCTTTGAACGCTCCAGATTCAGTTGACTCTGGGTTCCTGCCACAGAAAGGAGCAGAATTTCACCAATCTGTGGAAATCCAAGAGCTGTGTTGTACTATGAAGGCTGGCAGGAAAAAGGCACACGCATCTGTCTTCACTACTTAAACTCTAGAAAAAGCGATCTGCTGGTACGGGCATGTACAAGCAGCAGCAGTTTCTAAAAAAAACAACACCAATCTCCATCTCATATGGGTGTATGGGTGCAGTTAAATAGGCATAACAGAGGGAACAGACCCAGGATAATCTCTGCAGCCATGATGACAATACTCTAAAAGCTGCGTAAATGAAATTGGCATCCCATAGTCCTTCGCTCCTATAAAACTAAATCACAATATCATGCAGGCATTCCTGACCAACTTGTTTTCTATTCATCCAGTGAATCTTAACAGGAACACGTTTTCTGTTAAAATAAAAAAAGAAAGGAAAAAATGTAAATTTGTTTATTACATGCTCCACAAAGAGCTTCAGGAATTAAAGCCTTAGTGCTGGTTTACATATAATATATTATATAAACATTTTTCGTGCACAAACCCACCTTTTTTACCATAGGGAGTTCATTTTAATGGAATATTTAAAATGAATCCGAACCAAATATACACTTACATAATTTTTTTCAGATGGGTATAAAAATAGGTGGTTATGAAAGAAGAAAACATGTCTTTTTTTCTTTGCTTTTTTTTCACTATTCAACTGCACCCCATGAGATATTAGAGAGATGGCTGATGCCCCACAATATCCGTCTAAACACATTACCTCTTTCACTGTGAGCTCTCCAGTGTACATGAAGGTGTCAGATTTGTTATCAGCAAATAAGTGACACGGACTTGTTGGCTCACTTTTAAGTAGCAAACCGAACACATTATCGTTGAATGTTATACGACACCCGCATATGCTTGGCTGCCTTTTCTGTTGAAACACTGAGGAAAATGCTGGCTCACACATTCACTCACCTTCTCTTCTTAGTATCTCCACGGGTTGATCTGGAGCGGGATTGGCAGGTGTTGGCTGCACTCTGAAGTTTCCTGGGAAGAATGCCAAAGCAATGTCCCCCATTATTGTTTTTCATTGATTTTGTGAACGAGCGTTCATATTTATCACAGCATAGCACATGTGATATAAGTACTTAAACTGAATTTTAAAATAATTAATAAAAAATATCAAACAGCTTACCAAAGGAAGGGAGAATATGGTTGATGTTGAGCCAGGCTTTTACGAAGGGGAAGATCGATATGAGCAGGCCTGAAAAGCACAATTCATTTGATTAACAATATAAAAACACTGTTTTAACTATATTTCCTATCAGCTGAAGAAATAAGAAGTAACAATAGATGAATTGCAGTGTTTATCGTGGGTTCAAAAGAAATGATAGTCAATCATATGTATTCTTTGCCCTGAATTTCACCATAGTGGACTGAAACAGAATACTAACAGGAAAATATTTTGTACTGCAGGCTCTAAGATCTCATTATAATGGGAAATCAAATCACTGTGGTATAAAAGCATAAATTTAATCACTTGCAAAGTCCAATTTATTGCAATCTGTTAATTTCATTTGCTCAAGTGTTTGAATTACAAATTTCCAGAAGGTAGAAAAGCTCTCTTTCCTTTTTTGTAGAAGTTCCCATACTTCCCTAGACATCACAACCAACTAAAAGATTGTTTGATGAAACAGCCTTTGGATTACTTTCAGTGTACCAGATGCAAATGTGTGATTTTCTTCATGTTCCAGCTTAAAGCAATATCTAAACCACATGGCTTGTGTGCCTCTCAGTGGCACTCTGCTCCAATTCAGCAATATTCCGTTATTGATTTCCCTTGCAAGCCACCAAGAGCTGGCATTAAACAGTGGCAGGTCCTCGGGGTGGCTGTGATGCATGTATGTGCTTAAAATGTCATGAAACTGCAGATGGAGTGAAAAGAATCTGCCGAGAACACTCTGTCCATACTCATTAGTCAGCCTGTGTGTCGGAGGAGGCATCAAGGCACATAAGCCCCAAAACACATAATTAGATGCTACTGCTGCACAAGTGGTGCCAGAGTGAATGTCTCTGTCAGGCTGCTGTGCACAGTTCTGATTTGCCAAATTCTTTTGCAAATAAGGAAGACAAATTAATTATTGAAAGCTGATCACATCGTCAGGGAGAATGCATTTCACATTAACAATGCATGCTGATGTTGTCTTCCTCAGATCAAAAGCCCTGCCCTTCGCTCTTTTGCTCCAGGAAGGCAGGCTTTATCTTGCCGGAGCGGCTCGTCAGGCTGTCAGTTGTTTCCAGTTACACTGTTGATCCAGTTACAAATGGTCACATGGTGTGTTTTCTAAAGAGTGGTGGTTGGAAAATGTCCCAAGCTGCAGATCTTTAATCTGATCATTTTTTTCTCTAAATAAAAAATGTAAATATTCCTCAATTTGCCCGGGCCGTCGGGTATGAATGTGTCTCGAACCCAATTCTACAGATTTGTGTTAACCCTTGTGTTTTGTTAACAGAGGCTTTACATTCTCATTGCTCCAGGTCTCACAAAGGCCACTGCTGGATGTGTGAAAATAACAATTGTAAAATCAACCATTTTTTTCTTCAAATATATTTTTTTCCACATAAAACTAGGAAAAAGCATTAAGTATCAAGGTAATAAACAATGTTAAATGTGTTTGTATAAGCTGTTAAAAAGGGTCAGGGGTCTTCAGGACCCCATGAGAACTGTATGGTTAACCCACTTTTACTCTAAGTAATCGCCCATCAATATTCAGTGACACTTCAGAAAAAGACTAACTCATGGGTTTAGACAACCAATGACTTTCAACAATTACTAAATAAATTCCCACCACTGGGTCAGTAGTTCCTGAACAGTTTCACACACACTCACCGAGGCTGCCCGCTCCCAGGAAGATGCCTCCGACGGCATCAGCGTCACAGTCCCTGGATACCCCAATGAGGATGCAGCCCGCCACAATGCTCAGCAGGGAAGAGCCCACCCGTAGCCCATGGTATTGCCCTACGCTGACGGTGTTCATTCAGCAGGTGGAGGCCCCCCACCTGCCCTTCATGCACACAAACACACATGCACATGCACGCACACAGAGTGAACAGCCCCAAAGCTGTACTCTGCTTCGACTCGGGCCCTCACTACCACTGGCAACTTTACTGTCACCTGAATGAGCATTGCCCTTCCCTCGTTTTCACTCTCTCTGACACACAATCACTTTCTCTGGCGGAGCCTCCATCTCTGTTCTCCGTTGCTCAAGACGTCTCATGCATCTTTAAATATGGAGCTCGGGTTTCCACTGCCACCGAAAATGAGAAAGCTTGGTGGCGCTGGCTCTTGTGACAGCGACACGAGTGCTACAAATCTGATCACAGTCCTCTTCCCGGTATCTAGTATCACGTCCGCAGCGAACACCTAATTTAGGAAGATGTAGGCCTACAATGAAATGACAGCTGTGTGGCTGTCTCGTGGAAGCGTGCGGTGTGTCAAGGAGTTAAAAGTAAGAAACCGTAGTACGACTACAGGGGAGAAGGGGAGAAGGAGAGAAGGGGGGAGGGCAGAGAGAGAGAAGGGGCGACAGTTAGAGAGACAGAGTTATATGCTACTTGTGTGATTTGTCTGTGAGCTTGAAGGGAATGTGTAATGAAAGGTTCAGAGAGTCCTCTACGGTGGGGGCCCGAGGCCATCCATAAAGGCCTACAGTTGCCATAGGAATAGCATATCCATGGCAACAGAGGGAAAAAGAGGGTAAGCAGGATGACAAACGAACTTACGGGGTAGAGGAGAAACAGTGACACATTTCCTGTTCAGCAGGTAAACGCCTACTTTCTTTCTCTAGAGTCACATATGTCAATTATTAATCAGTACTGGGGTGTGTGTGTGACATACACAGCCCATACCTATTGAGTTGCGTAGCTTAATCTTTGTGTCATGGTTTTGGTTTTTAGTGTTTTCTGCCCCTGTTTCACTCCCTGACTCTGTGTTCTGGTTTTGTGTTCTTGTTCTTCTTGATCATTGGTTCCATCTTTGTTGTAATTCTGTTACCTTTGTCTTTGTGAACTGTTGCTTGCTTTACTTCCTGTTTTATTGTGTTTTGTCAGTGTCTGGTGATTTTGTCTCGCTTTGTTACCTGTCTGCTTTGATTCCTAATGTGTCTCACCTGTGGTTAATTACCCTGCCTGCTTCTTCTGTTCAATTCTCACGTTCATGTTTGGAAACCTGCCTCTCTTTGGACTTCTTCTTCATCTCCTGTAAGCCTGAGATTTCTGTTGGAGTTATAATAAAAAACTCTCAAACTGCATTGGAGCCTCTGCCTTGAAACTCGGCCAATAACCGTGATTCTTTGTGGCTTGTGACCCTTCAAAATTAAGTAAAGTCACTTGTGTTTACATAATTAGCACACTAAATTATTGGTTTCTCTGAACTGTCTCACATTGTAAAGTAACAACCACAAATGTTAGTTAACGACAGAAAGGTAACTCATCTCTCTAACGTCTGTCTCCGAGGTCACCAGCACTGTGGCCTCTCATGGGAGATTTTTTGATTGCTTTTCAAATAAAAATGACATAGATACACTACTCACTCACTTACTCATCGTCGTCAACTGCTTATCCTGTGTACAGGGTTGCAGGGATAGAAATCCTACACTAAATAACTTGAAAACAATTAACAAGTAGCTTCAATAGGAATAGTAAACATTTTAAAATCAGACATTGTTCTTTCATCCCAACTTTTCAATTAAATTTTAGAATTTATATTCTATGTATTTGAAAGTATATATATTAGTATATATATTTATTTATACATTATTTGGTTGTTTTCGAGTGAGAGGGAAAGCAAGAAAATTATATGCGTTGGCCGGGAATCGAACCCGGGTCAACTGCTTGGAAGGCAGCTATGCTAACCACTATACCACCAACGCACGAGACGATTCTTTCAAAAGACATTAGCTCTCTTAATCGTAATTCACATGCATATATCCAAGTAAAATCATGTTGTGTCATAAAAAACATCTTTTGGCTCAGATTTAGAGTTCACCCCTGGGCGCTGCACAGTGGCTGTTCACCCCTGAGGGATGGGTTAAATACATAGAATGAATTTCACTACATGTTTGTGTATGCGACAATAAAGTACCTTACCTTACCATAGAGTACCGTGCAGCATTGTGTATATGTATTGCAACGTAGTTACAGTGGAAAACAACAATACTCACAAGCAAAAGAAGTGGCCCGTACGGGGATCGAACCCGCGACCTTGGCGTTATTAGCACCACGCTCTAACCAACTGAGCTAACCGGCCACAAGCATCCGCTTTGGCCATTATATTTCATTATTACATCGAATACTGGCATCCTTCTGATAAGTAATTTCATGTACTGACAACTGCAGACTACCGAAGACGTCCTCACACCAGCATTGTCAAATAAATCCACATTCAATAAGTGAAAACTATGAACGTCACATCACATGTTATGTTTATGTAAGTTCTATTTAAAACTACTTAATCAGACCTCGTGGCGCAACGGTAGCGCGTCTGACTCCAGATCAGAAGGTTGCGTGTTCAAATCACGTCGGGGTCATTGTTTTCATAACTTTCTTTGTATCTAAAAAATTAAGATGAGGAAACCTTTATTTGTCCCACAGTGGGGAAATTGCGGTAAAGACAAGAACACAGATAGATAAGTAGATAATTAATTCTTTCCAAACGTAAATGGTAAAATCATCTCTGGTGGTATTAAACCATTTTACATTTTTATTATGCATGCTTTAAGATGAACACATCAACTTTATAAAAATATATAGGCCTATGTGTTTTTAACATTGTTTTTTAACGCTTATTTCAAGATTCAATTTTAAACAGAAATAACATCAAATCTAATTTTACTAAATTATAGACCCATATTAAATAAATAAATAAAATAAACAGATGATATGCCATCATCATCAATTAAATTAATTGCAAAATGTTCTGCAAATCACTTAATCACATTGGGTAAAAAAAGAAAAAAAACGTCCAAATTCTCTGATTACAGTTTTCTAAATGTGAATATTTTCTGGGTTTTTTTGCTCCTCTATGACAGTAAACTGAATATATGCGGCTTGTGGACAAAAGAAGATATTTGAGCACGTCCTCCATACCTAGACAGACAAGACTGATAGCATGGATGTAAGAAATGGTGAGAAGAAAAGAGGGCTCGTCCGGGATTTGAACCCGGGACCTCTCGCACCCTAAGCGAGAATCATACCCCTAGACCAACGAGCCGACTTGACAGTTAACCTGTATGAGACTACACAAAGCTCCCAATGTGTTACTATGTAAGCGTTTCAAAAAAATGTTTTTTTCAAGTTAGGTCACTAAAGACCTGTAGTAATTTCAAAACCATGTGGATTGACAGTAACTTATAACATTATTACAAAAGTGACAATCATTCATGTTTTTTAAAACCTAACTTAAACGACCAAAAATGTTACAACCAAAACGTTCTTCCTACAAATTACGTTAAAGTTACCCTACTGTGTGTATTTTCCTACAAGCAGATGCTTCATAAGATTTCCTATTAGTAAGCTGTTGTGTTTTACTTTTTTTTTTTACAGTTAACATTAATACACAAACAAATCCATCATAGTGGCAGTGAGGGCGTCCCACTGTTGCAAATTATCAACTCACATGAAGACGTTATTCATGGTTTTTTAACTGTAGACTTAAGTTTTCATTTTCCAACTGATCTTCAACAAACAAAATAAATTAATTGAGGCTTGTGTGCCACAATATTAAGTTGTCAACGTTGTTAACCCGCTTAGTTTGCCCAGGAGATAAGTCTTAGCTGACTATTAGCATGTTAGGCTAATGTTAGTTACAGTTTCAATTAACATTAGGCAGTAAATGCACTTTTATTGTTATATGGAGGTAAGTGTTTGAAAAATGGCTATACGCTATTATTAGCAATATCACATACCCAAGTCTTTCACATTAGTTTGTTCCTAGGGGCAAGGTGGGACACTTGGCTGTTTGACTGCGCCCATTAGCGGGCTACACCCATAGACTGTACAGTATATAAGAAAGGCCATACCTGTGTTGGTACCATGGATGTAGCACTAGCTGCAGTTAGCCTGCAGTTAGCCTGTAAGTTAAGAGTTTATCAACAGTTCAGTAGTCATGTCAGTAAATATATATTATGGTAGTAACAACTTAAGGCAGAAATAGCCAGGCTATCTAATAATGACTAGGAAGACATATTTGTTTGACCAAAATTGCGTTTTAATTTTTTTGACAAATTTAGTTATAAAGTAATCTATACAGTAATTATACTGTGAAGAACCTTTTAGCAAAGTATTTCACACAGTAACGTTAAGGCCCGTGACATATGATATGGCCCATATATCATATCTCTTCCTGAATACTTAATACAGTGGTAATATTCACCTCCTTATTTGTGATTACGTATCTTACTGGTCAGCAAATCTTTCCAGGGCATACGGGTTTTTAGCTGGTGTCATGTGACCCAGACTCAGCCATCTTGTGGAAAACGGAGAGAGAGAGAGCCACACAACTCGCATACAAACCTTGTGCTGTCAGAACAAGCAGAGGTAAGACAGCCAAAGTTTAATACACTAGCAAAGACAAATCGTACATTTAAGTAAAGTGCCATGTTCTGGGGAGCTGGGGTGCTTGGGACTGTTGTTAAACCACCATGTTTACTTGGCCTTGCAGCACCGGGGTCCAGTGTCTCTGAGCGTGTCCGGGCTGTGTTGCGTGCGGGACGGATTGTTGTGGATCCAGGCTACGCGAAGGCCGCATGTGGCTAGTTAGCCAACCTATTAGCAAGTGTTGAGGATAGGGATTAATTTATGCTATAGCGGCGTTGCATTTGTTATATAGAATATATGACAAGACGCCGTTTCCTATGGGAGACTGTCAGTAACGTTACATATATAGCCAGCTATATATTTACGCCCAACAAGCAAGCATTAGCTACGTTGGGATAAAATGTTGCTAACAAGCTAGCATTAGTTGGCCAACTGATGCTCGCTAACCCGCTAGCATAACCACCGTAGGCTGGTATGTCATCAGCATGTAGCACTTTAACTAGCTAACATACAACTCTGCTGCCACTTCTCAGTAAAACCAACTACATCACTATTGTCAGCTTTTAATCGTTATGAAATGTGTGCGATTATCAGTTGCTAGTGCCCTGTGATTAACTGAATTATCTATGTTAGTTGTTTATTTAACTGGTTAGCTTGCTACGTTAACGTTAGCTAGCGCAATGTTGGTAACCGATTATGCTTCAACTTAACCTTCCCGTGGGACCATCACGGCTCGTAGTCAGTAGTGCGAGCCATCTTTTAACATTGTTCAGTAACGTAATTAACGTTAACGTCAGTATGATCGATAACAACAGAGTGGGTCGGCCCGATTAGCGTTAGATAGGATGAATTAACGTTAGGTGTATCCCCTGCTTTCCTGTTAGATTAGCGTTAACGCTGAGTTTCACGGTGGACTCTTCACACAAGGAACTAACGTTATACGGGCAACTTTGCAAGAACATCATGGCCAGTCATTTATTTCCCTTACTTAAGCCGTTTGCTCCTTATCAAAAATCCAAGTCTGGCATAATCAAAATGATCAAAGTTGTGCTATTGTCAATAGA